CTTTCTCTCTGGCTGTGATTGTGTCGTGAAACTTTCAAATGTACAGCGACACCGAGTAAATACAATATTTATCGAACTAGCGGAAACCACTTCTACATTATATACACCGTAAACTTTCCTTTTCCGAAACACAATGTTCCGGCCAAGAGAACTTATCACCTAAAGTTTTATGACCATCTTGGCTTTCGCTTGAGCAGTTGGTAACGTTGGATCGTTTGGTTATTCAGTACGAAACTATATTCCAGACATCAAAGGAATTATAGCATCCATTATACTCTATAATTTAACCCTTCAATGATTGTTTGATAACCACAATACTTTGATTTAATTTCAAAATATTTAATATTAATTTATATTCTATCATTTACGTTCGCTAAATGCTATTAATCTTTTGAGAAATATCGACATGACATTTTTATGTCCTCCTTGAAGAAGCTAATGATGTTTATCACATGAAACACTAATGACATATCATAAACTACGTTGTGAATGCATTACATTATAAACAAGAGTAAATCAAAGAACATGTTCAAATATTAAGAAACTTACTCTTATAGATCGCTTACAACCCAATTACACCTATTGGGAATTACAAATATAATAGAACAAACAAATAATACACAAATATGACCCTCCAAAAAACAGAATCTCTTTATACGCATGTCACTTTAAACAACTTGTTCAAAGAAAAAGTATTTATTTCTTAACAGCAAGCAGAATCTTCTCAACAACCACCCCGTATACGATTACTCGACACACTGAACGCAAGAAGACGTTCACCATTTGGTTAGAAGCGAAACTTGCTCATGTCACACTACTCGAAGAGCATTTTACAACATCTCGATCGTTAACATCGCCTCGAAACGCGTCGCAGATCTCGATAACGAGGGATCATGAAGAATACGCCACACAATGGACCATCACTGGCGTCTTTTGTTCCCCCTCTTTTTCCTTTCTCTTCGTTTCTCAGGTAGTCTGTAAAGTTTTGGACGGAAACGGGAGCGTATCAGGTGGAATTTAATCATATAAATGGACGAGCGTCCGAATCGGCTCGACGAAAAATAAAAGTTTCACGCGGCACCGACCATCCCCTCCAGGTTTCGCTGCCTCGAACCCCTACGGAATTTTTCCGATCGAATTAGCCACGGCGAAACTTTGCTCGCACTGCTTTCGAGCCGACCATTCGCCCCTCTCAACTCGTTCCTCTATTTCTTTCTTTTTTTTCAGTTTTCCACAAGGTCTGCGTTTCGAAACCAACTCCCCCCTCTATTTATGCAGGACAGCTCTTTTTTTGCCACGGGACGAACCGCCGGGGTGAACTGACCAGCTCTCGACTGAAAGTCGAGGGAGTGGATGTTGCAAATTTCAGTCCTTTCTCTTTTTAATGATGCGTCGCGCAGGGATCGAAGCGTTGATTATCCAACTTTTATTGGCGACTGAGTGACGAGACGGCGGCACCTCAAAATTAGCATGAGAAAATTGTGTGGTGTCCATAATGAGAGTGTGTTTTAAAATATAAATGATGTATGAAATTTAAAATTATGCATCTCGATGATTCGTAAGAGTATTGCAATAAAATTGCAAATTAGTCGTATGTTTGCCAACGAAAAATGTATAATATGAAATATTGTAATACATTTCGTATATTTCGTAAAATATATATGCTCTTTTTAGGAGGAATCTCTTTCAATGTAAATCCGGATGTTTCTCAAGTGTATACGCGAAAGTAACGATCGAAGAAGCTCGAAAGTTGCTCTTGTTTTGCTCCAGCGTCACGTTTGCGGTCTCCACAGTGCTGTCACGGTATTCCATAGGAACCGTTCGGAAAGAAAAAGACTCGACGGAACAAGCAAAGACTCAACGAAACAAATAAAGATTCATGACACGATCGAATCCTCGTTTTTTGAAAGCAACGATCCGTTCGAGGGTGATAGGGCGTGACATTGTAACTCGTGAGGAGGTTGCTCTTGTTTTTGATAAATATTTAAAAGTCGACATATAGCCGATTGAAAAAGAATAGACACTTCGTCTCTAGCTACAATTCTTCTTTTTAAATATTTCCCTTTTAATAAATTGTATTTTCGGTCATTAAAATTGAACTCCCTAGGGACGATTTCTCGAAAGTTAACAAGCGATAATTGACTTTTTTTTGAAGAGAGATTGTTACTCGTTAAAGTTAATTATTCATCAGGAACGTAAAGTAAAATGCGACTAACTTGGAACAGAACAAAGGAAATTGTTGTAATATTCATAAATCAAAGATAGCTTTTTACCTAATAAATTATTTTAACGATAATGCTTGCTTTTATCTCGTTTCTGAAGCTCGCACTCATCTTTATAAGGTCGTACACACTTCAGCAAGTGAAATAACTCGAAATCAACGATGAGAAAGTGGCGCCATTCGAGACGAATAATGTTTCTTTATCGACGCATAACCAGCGCGTTCGCAACAGCTCGCAAATTCCGGCGTAATACATTTTCCAATTGAAAATTCCACTGAAGCACACGCAGCCTGCATAAAGCATCATTAGAGAATCGTATTCTTGAGATACGACCGATTCGACGCGTGCACAATCCAATTTGCTTCCACTGAGTCCAACAGAGAAATCTATTCGAGCGGACACCTCGCGCGTTAAAAGCAAGAAAAATCAGGCTTTATGGATATTTTCACGCTCGTTTAACGCGTTCTTTTAACCACGTCACGAGCCATTTCAGCAGCTGATTCTTAATTTCTGGCTTGATAATCTATGCTCCTCTTGACGCTTCCTTGCTCGTCAATATCGTCGGTTTTCTAAAAGTGAAACATCTAACAATAAAAATGTTTCACCCTTCGTGTAAACCAATCATATATAATTGAATATCATAAAATCGCTTTAGAAAATTATTGTAAATCCTAAACTCCAATTCTGTTAAACTTACAACACTAAGTATATATTAATAAGAACTGCAAAGAACACTAGTATACACCGATCTCCAAATAATTCCACAAACAGATGTACTAAACAATTTTATCTCGCACGGCAAATAATACCCCGGGATACCCGTTATAAAGAACAAACAAAATTCGAAGTAACGCGACTGAAAGCGTCCTCGACTGTGTTTGAACCAGGTAGGTGTACCTCGAATCATCGATACGGTGTCACGGTGTTCGAAACGAGGCAAACGTTCTCAGCGTAGCTATATTGTCTCAGCAAACTCGAAGTGAGGTGAGCGATGGGAGCGAGGGAAAAGCAAATAGCCGGTCATCCCGCGGCAGAACTTATCGTTTCTAAAATGGCAGCCGGAGGGTCGCGGTCGTCCCTTTGCGACGAATCTTATCGAGACTGACGAACCGGGGCTACAAACTGCGGCTTGCTTTCGGGAAAGCAAACAAAACCTCAAAACGGACGTAGAACCGCGAAGAAAGCCGAGGCAAATAAGAAACAGATAGACTAAGAAATATCGTAAGACAGAGAGGGTGGGAGAAGAGAGAACGACACGAGAAGAAATAAAACACGAGAAAAAAAACGCGAGAGGACAGAAAAGTGTCCTGTGTCCGTTGTAGGAATCAGTCGGAGCAATGAGAAGGAGAACAACAGGAGGAAGAAGGGTAAGAAGACAAATCGACGTTGAGAAGAATGGAAGAAAGTCAAAAGAGAAAAAAGGAAGAACAGAAAGGCAAGGAATCACCTTTCGGTTCCCACGAGATTTTACGTCTCGCGACCGACCCTGGGGAGACGATGGAAGCGGAATCAATTTTACGGGCGGACGGGCATCGATGCCTCGCCGATTGGCATCGATCCGATCGAAGTATCTGGAGGTCTCGATCTTCTGGGAGTCGCGAAATTGCCCGACCTCGGAAATCCCGTCCGCCGCCTTTCTTCCGGTCCTCGTCGTCGAGGAAGCCGCTTACGTTGGTCCTTGGTCTCGTCCAATTTGTGGCCTTCCCGGGTCCCGCTGTGTTTCGTTGTCTTCGAGAAGGGAAGAACGAGGTTCGTCCTCCGTCGTCCTTTTCAAAGAGCTCGATCCAAGTATCCGTGGAAGATCGAAACGGAAGAAACATGAGCAGCGCGGGCAAAATGTTATTGGAAACTGTTCGAGTCATGCGACACTCGCTGGCACCTCGTTTCTGACGTTTTCGCATTTCGCGTTTCTCTTTCGCTTTACTGTCGCGACGTTCACATTGTTTATAGTTGTATGAAAATCAGGAAAGATGGTGAATGGGGCAGGCAACGAGATTCTGATCGTTTCGATTTCGATCGCGATGAAGCGGATTGAATTTCGTTTTGAGGATGGTGGAGCTTTTCTGCGTAACGATGTACGGAAAGGGGGTTGCTTTACCATTACAGAGTTCTCGTTTCGCTGATGGCATGGAAAATTGTATTGAGTTTGATATCGGTTAAAATCGAGGAACGTTATAGCGAAATGGGACTTATTCTAAATCTGCATTATTCATCTTCTATCTGGATATTCTATTATATATGCTTATTATTCAATTGTACTTTAAAGATACATACATAAAGTGTACTTCTTAATCCCCATAATTCTTACTGTAAATTTAAGCATCTAGAGGCAGATGTACGTCAAAGACTGTGCTGGAAGCTACATCGAGCTATTACGACGTCGATGAGAGAACAACAGAGGAAAATAAAAAGAACGTAAAACAGGGCAACGTTTCACGGTGTAAGACAAGAGAATGACGGAGGTGCTGCTCGAAAACGGCACCATCGTCGTTGTCGTCGTCGTCGTCGTCGCCGAACGACCAAGGGAACACGACACTGAGCAACACGAGGGCGGAGAAGAACACGAAAACTCGCTGCCTCGTAATTAATAACCGTTCGAACAGCGTGCACCAGGCGTGGGCGTCGCAAAGTGGCTGTCGTTAGTCGCTCGTTGAGACGGCGCCTTGCCGCCTGGACTCGTTCGCACTTCGTACCTCTTGCGTGCAACCCCGTCGAAAAGCTGATTTCGTAATGTTTCACCGAGAACGGAGAAAAATCTCGGGTAATTATTCCTTCCAGCCGCTGTCTTTCTACCCGCGTGCTACCAACAGCGACTCATTTTTTTTTCCTGGCGTACTCAACCCTCACGTTCTCACTGTAATCGTATGGCTACGTGTTTAAAATGTTACGTTCACTAGAGGTTAATTATAGCAGTGTAGATAAGGAGAGTATGTATATTTATGCAAAGTTGTATTTTTACGAACGCGAAGGAACAAATGGAATCAATCCTAGCTTTTTTATTTCTATCCTAGCAATTTTCTATCACGATAAATCAAGATTATTTCACATCAGATCTAAACTTGTTTGAAATGAGAGCTATATTAATAAGCTCATACTTTTTAACTATTTATATGCTACCTTTATTTATTTTCATATATGGAGTCTATAATTCGTCAGAATGATATCGATAGGAATGTATATAGAGTAAGTACGATATCACAGGGTGACAATTTTCTTCCATTATTATGAATAATATTCTGAATGAAATTTGTTAATGATTTTACTTGTTAATTATTTCTTGCAATTCTGTATAATGTAAATGTGTGAATACAATATGAAATATTACATTCAAAGGAATTTGTACGTTCGAAATTGGAGAGCAATTACACATAGAATAGAAAGGACGGGTGTGGAAATATCGAAGGTATATAACCGATCGACCAGCAAAACTTGAACGCTTTGTGCGACGAGACTGGGACGAGTCACGATTATCTGGCAAAGTTTGAAAATTCGATATTGTAATTTTGGATAAAAGCGATTACGTTTAAAGCAGCGGGATTCGATGTTTAGCCACGTTAATATCGATCATCTGTACACAATTAAGGCAATATAATATCGCTGGAGTTTCAGATGAAAGCAAGCCCCGGCTATAAAATCTGCTCTTTCAACGGACCCAAGTGCCCATGAAATTAAAAGCTTTCCATCTAATTGCGATAACATCGAACGCGATTAACCGATAATTCTCGATAAATGTGATCATATATGAAATTTCGTGCATAACTGGCCTCTGTGTAATTTCAAAGCCTCGACATGTTCATGACCATGAACATCCTAAAACGAAAAAGCTATCGAACTTCTCAGAAATCAAACAGATCATTAACTGATCATTAATATCCAAACGTGAGGGTAACAAATATTTAATTTCGTAGCTTTACTCGTTGCAAGAAGATGATATAAATAAATTCTATGGTAAATTTAAAAAACAATATTTGTAACATCATCGCTTTCTCGAACTTCCTAATTCACTGAATCGATCAAAATATTTTCTGCTATTGCAAAATCTCGAAATGTTCAGTCCACGAGAATTCTAAAATGGAAAAGTAATTACTTGTTTCCTTAAATGCAAAGAAGACCAAAAGAAGAAGAGCGAGGGAAAAAAGAATCTTGATCAGGCTTTCGTTTCACGTTCGAACAACGCTCCTTTTGTTTCCATCGTTTTGGAACCGCTCGAAGGGAAAGAGAGAACTTCCACATCGTGCATCGATCACCGCAAAACTCGAAGCAACTTTTTCAAGAATCCCTTTGAATTTCTTCCCCGTTGCTTCAGTCAGTTTCGACTACAGAGAAAACGAGCTCTCTTTCCTCTCTCCTTTTCCTTTCACTCCGACACACAGACATTTCTCTTCGATGAACGTTAGCGTATTTTCCTTTCTTCTCTTCTTTCTCTCTCTTTTTCTCTCTTGCCAACTTTTTTTTTTACATATCGTAATAGCTCAGGCCTGCCGTCTTTGACGCCCTTTGTCGCGCATCAGCGGCGCGAGTTTCGAGACATCGCTCTTCCTTGAAACTTTCTCATTCGTCAAATTAGAATTCGCCTTTCCGCCGGCGCGACGGCGACGCTCCCCGGAGGCTCTCTCGCTCTCCAACGCCACCTCTCCTCGCCTTCGTCGAGACAATGGATCAAAGGATCACACACAGCCTCTCCTGGACCTTAAATTCCGCTGTTGCTGCTCTCCCAAGGAACACCGACCGACGGGGCACGTCGAAAAGTCGCGTCGCGACGCGATTGTCACCAAACCCCTCCCCTGGAAAGATCAAACGACCAACCGGGACACGAGTCGCTCGTTTCCAAGTGTTTCCCATCGAGATCTCTCTGAACCTGTCTACTTCCGAAGAATTAAATACCATTGTACTAACAGATGGGGAAAAAGGTGGGTTTTTTTAAATATTTTGGTTTGGAGTTTGGAATTTATCGAAGATTTGTAATGTTGGTTATTCACAGCACGAATGTTATTGAGACATCAATCATGCAGTTTGGAAGAGTTTGAAGTAGTAGGACTTCATTGGGTTTTGAACATGAAGGATCGAAAGACATATATATTGATGACTTCTTCTAAAGGCCTTTGATTCTAAAAGAATAGCACTGATGCCATATATCGCCTAATGTAACATCTAACACCTTTTCTTCTTGGAGTACAACAATAAGCGTAAACAAAATGTAGGAAATTACCTTTTCAAATACGATATAATGTAAATAACTCCGATTTAAATGTAATATAATTAACTCCAATTCTAATACAATTTAAACAGAATATCATTCTAGAAGAATTAAAAATTCTCCTAATTTTTAATACTTCTTACGTTTCTCCTCCGTGTCTTTTCTAGTAATAGTACCATGAAAGTGCATAGCATAGTATCATATAATACAGTAACACCCGTACATAAACGCTGGGTTATTCGTCTCTTAATAGTCCAAATGATCGTCTTCGTCGAGATAAACGTGGCGAAAACTTTGGAAACTGAATCCATCATGGAGATCGTAAAATATTAAACCGCACAATATCAAAGCACAATATTCTGACTCAGCATCGTAAAGTCTTTAATGAGTATTATCGAGACTCCTGACATCTACACATGACAGAAACCGGCGTGAAACGTTACTCGATAACACGGTCTTTAATCGAAGCACGCATTGCGACGCTATCGTTGGTACTGGATGATATAAGAGTTTGATGCTGCAGACCGTTCGATTGGCTCGTTTCACGGATTTGATGTACGACGCCCGGCCATGGATCGTTTCTCGCTGCACAGCCGTGAAATCAATTTTGGGATCTGTCGTTGGAACTCGCCACTAAACTCAGATCTCGCTGTTTTTGCGTGGATCTGAGCCACCGGTTGGAAAATAGATCAATAGATAGGAGATATGTGAGCAGATAAATGGCTAAAATAGAGGAAAGGAGGAGTAAAGAACTGGCAAGAGGGTATTTTCTTTTTGAACGATTTTTTTTATCTTCGACAAATTTTTATATTTTAATAATATTTCTGCTTTCGAAGAAATCCAGGAGTACGTGTATTTTTAGGAATATTATAACAAGATAGTTGGTGAGTGGAAGTCTGGGGTAAATCAGAAGATAATTTGATCGCCAATCTTGTTACTTTATTCATTATTTATTCATAGTTTGTTAGTTGCAGCTCTTATTATTGAAATATTATTGAGCAGAGCTCTATTTTGCGGTGAGTATAATAAACGTGCAGCTTGACGATATTAACTTTTTCAACGATGAATTCATTTAGTTCAAAAAACACCTATTTGTTTACTTTTCGGTTAAGTTTATTTCAAATATATCTAGAAATATTAAGATATAACTAATATCGAAAAAAACTTCGACATGCTTGAGGAAAATATTACGTAAGTGTAGAAATAGCTCATTTTATCTTTTCGACTGGAGTTTGAATTAAAGAAAAGGTCTATCCGACATTTCTGTTAATTTAGAAAAAGTATCAAGCTTTTCCTAAAATTTTATTTTCATTTAACCTTCGTATCCCTCCATCTTTTAAAAACAAATTTCAATCCTATAGTCTTAAAAATACTCTCCATTCCTCGAAATAATTACGAGACCAAATTTAAAGAGAAGGTGAAACAAAAACATCAGAAGGCACGAGAAAGGATAAATAAAGAAAAAGGAATAGAAAGAACGAACGGGAGTCACCGGTGAGAAAAGAAAAAAGCAATCGAAAGCAGATGGAATGATCAACGAAAACAAAAGTGGGGGAGGGAATTAGCAGAGGCAGGCAAGGAGAAGAGAGGTCTGGGACAGAATCAGGGTGGAGAAGAAGCGAATGCTTCGACTTATATAAGGCGACTCAATTAGGATTAGCCAGTTGCCTCGGAGTCTTTAGGTCTTTGCTCGCTGATCTCCGACTTCGTCTCATCGGCTTAGGATTTACCTAAGGATCTTATTGGCATCGAGAGCGAACGATCGATACGCCCACCGTTCACGAAGCTACGCTCACGAAGTCACGAAATCGTGATCTCTTCGTCGACAATGGGACATACGACGGCCACCTACCGTCCGTGAACTAAGGAATGACTAAGAAAGTTCAGAAAACCGTTCCTATTGGGACGAAGCCGTAACATTAACCCCTTCCACTTTCTTTCAATCCGTCGCTTTTCGATAGAACGAAATCTAACCAAGCAGAGAAGATGGAGTAATTAAATCTGGTTTAAAGCTCCTCCGACTAAAACTTATCTTCGATCCTCTCTAGAATGGCCGTAGTATTGAATTCTGAATTCTAGTATCCAAGTCTTTCGATTCATTTTTTATCCAATCATATCTTCTTACAGATAGAGAACTTTTTCATTCACTTGAAACATATTCAGTGTCTATTCAATTTAACTAGTGATGTACGAAGAGCAATATTACGGAGAATATTATATGAAATTGAGAAATGATTGTGGTTTCAACTTAAGGAAGAAAATAATCCACAACCATCAGAATTATCCTGAGGATTGTCTTCTACTTAAAGGTATATCACGAATGAGTTAAACTTGAAGAAAATATACAACAATAATCATTGACGTGCTACATGATTTTTCGTTTAAGTTTTATGCCATACTTTTCTTCAAAAAATTCAGTGTCATTTCATTTCTGGAAACAAGATTGGAACATGAAGATTTACCAGGCTTAAATTGCTATTTCCATCAATAGAAACAAAGCGTGCTCGTCAAGATCAAAAGAAAAATCGTATTTAAAAAGTCAAGCCCCTGTGTCCAATCTCATCCTCCATCATACCTGAGCAAAAATATGAAACAGAGAAAAAAGTAAACGCATACGTTGCACACGCAGAGCCACGTCACACCAGAACAATAATTATTCCATAGAGATAACTTGCGATGCCGTTTCCCGATCGAGCCATTCGAAAAAAGCAAACCTTTATTTTTTTTTTCCCGGATCGAACTGTGCGGGGGATATTCGGTTCTCTGATGACGGTCGTTTTCCCATCGACGATATTCAGCTCTTTCCACCTTTCCTGCGGAACTTCTGGCTGTCTCTTCCCCGTCCGAGAATAATAAGTTTCCGGCGATGTGACCCGTGAAAATCGAATACGCTTGCACCGGTTGCAGCGACAGCTCGGCCGACAAGGCAACTCCGCGTCCGGTCGACTCAGTTATGGAAATCCCTTCGGCGCGTCGGCTCATCACCGTCGCGCCAGCTCATGCTGTTTCCCGACCAGTCAGCTTCCTGTCGTCAAACCCTGTTCAAAGTCAATCGCGAAATCTCGTTATTCCGGGCCGCGTCTACGTTATAACGAGAAAAACCGTGTTCACCGGCCGCGGCGACGTAATATCGAAACATCCTGATTGCCCGCGATACACGCACCAGTTGCGTTTCACGATGTCGAATCCGCGATGCTCTTTCTCCCCTTTATCTCGTCTGTATACGTGCAATTCGGACGTCGTTTCAATCGATACATCGATAGCTACTAGAGAGGGAGAGCGTAGAATTCGTGGGATTAATATACCCGTCAGACAGATATTGCACGCTTCTGTTCACAAATATCAGAACACTTGCTTATTCGCTATAAGGTATTATAATTGATCTGGATCGTGAAAGGAACGATTAATCCAGCAGAGTTACGTAAATCCGACGAAACAAAATTAGATAATAGAAATAAAGCGAAAGAAATTGCAAATGAAGTTTGCTGTGAAGGTCCTTAACTGGTTAATTCTTTGCGATCGGAGGTGGCACACCTAGTCGACAAATTTAAAATACAGCCTCTGTGGCGAAAGGTTAATAACCTTACTCAGCTTCACGTTAGAAAAATTATTAGCAAAAAGAGATAGTAAAACGACTACAGCCAAGAATTATATGTCTCAACACGTATCATTCTGCCACTAAATACAGAAGTGCCGCAACAGGCTATTAGCAAAATACTACTCTCTATCCCTTCTCCGAAACTCACCCTCGAGCTGCGAAAAGCAACGAAAATTAAACCTGTCCGGCCTACAAGTTGCCGTGCACGGTTCGCCAAGCAAGTTCACCGTCTCAGTCGAAGCGTTAAGAAGGTATTCGACGGGACTCGGAAACGGACGCTGGTTTCCCACACCGGAAACAAGAAGTTTGCATAACGCGGCCCGCGAAACTTTTGATCGAGGGGTGGCCCAAGTTTGGCCATGCGGAGGGTTAACCTCCTGGAGGGCATGATCGCGAGTAGTATGATGGAGAAGGGAATACTACGAAAGAGAAGGGGTGCAGCCATGGCTCATTGTTTGCCTGGAGCTCGATTACGGGTTAATAACGTTACCGTGACCCCTGGCTTCGTCTTGGCTCGCGCAACGCCGGTGGTTTTGAGGAAGACCGCTTTTGCCCGTCGAAGTCGGTCGCATAAAGGAGCGGATCGCCCGATCCAATTACCCGACTAGCTAGTTTCTTCGTTCGTGGCTCGTTAGTGGGACGAAGGAGGCACGGGCGAGCTTAAGGCGTGTTCGTAAGACTTCCTCGCGTCTCTCGCGCCCCCGGATCGAGTTACCGAAGATCGAACGCAAAAACCTGCAGCGATCAGTTGACAGGGTCTTCCCGCGACATCGACCACTGTCCTCGAAGGAATTAGACACTCCAGAGCTAAGATTTCTTTCAGGATGGATCGTGGTAATTCGCGTTTCAAGACACCGCAATGGATTGTTGAGGTGACTGTGGATTAGTTCATGATGAGATGAAAATGCGTGAATAGGATGATCTTCGAGAGTGGATTAGTGGAGATGAAAATCTTGGAGGAATATTTTTATCCGAGTTTGGAAATTGAAGCTGTATGGGTTATATTTGTTGGAGTGAAGAAGGAGGGTGAAATGTTTTCTTGGTGAATAAAAGAGAAAGATTAGGGCAAGATCTTCTTCACGGATACACGTATATTTCTAACTAATAAAACAGCTTAGAAAAATATTGGATGTTTATAAGGAAGGTTTTTAGTACTTGGAACCTTAGAATAAAACAACACGAACTACGGTTAATAATGAGATGGAATTGTAATAACAATGTAACTACACAATTTACATTACTCTGGCGAACTTTGAATATTGAGAATAACAATTTCTGTTATTCTTAACTGCCTGGCCAACTGCATTTTCACTTGTATATTCTCCCT